CATGCCATATCTTCAAAGGTATATTCCCTCCAGGCAACAGCTTGAAGAAGCTGATGCCTGAGTGCTCTTCAAGGCCCAGGAACATGGCTGTTCAGCCTTGTCACACAGACATTCTCCCTGTCAGCACACAACAGAGCTGGAATCAAAGAATCATAGGTTCATTAAGGTTGGAAAAGACCTCTTAGATCATTTAATCCAACCATCCACTGACACACAAAACCCACTACTGAGCACAGAATTTACTGTGAGCCCTGCAAGTTGCAGACAAATGCAGAGCATCAACCAAGCAAACAAGGCATCATTATGGACTGCCTCCCTTGGACCCAAGTGATTCAGTTTGGAACCAGCCAAACGTGCATTTATTCTCTCTGAGACCAGTGAGGGCATGCAGGCAGTGCATGATCTGCTCATTGATCTTCCTGTCTGATCTACATGTGACAAAGGCATAGCAGGAGTTCAACAGTGCAGAGGGATCTAAGCAGAACTGCCTGGGGATTAAGGAGCCAGCTTTCCACAAACTTGTCAGAAATCAAGAGAATTAAGAACTCCTGGGGTTTCACTTTCGCTTTACTCAGAGAGCTTTCTGTTCTTAATTACATTTGGCAGCCACAGCAACCACTTCATTTGGCTTTGTCAGTGCTGAATTCGATTGCATTCAGAAGGGAAAGCAATATGCTGTCCTTAAGAACAAGGCACCTTGGACACGTGTCCAAAGCAGCTATGAACAGGTAGCTTCCTTTGAGAGGAGTTTCAAGGAATAGTTACAGTTCAGGGATGGTGCAGCACTGTGAAACTCCTCTGGGCACTGAGACTTCTCAGCAAAGAATGATCCTTTATTGCCCCCTCTGTCTCTAAACACATCTTCCCTCTGCAATGAAATGAACAGCAAAACAGGGGAACTAAAGGACAATCAAACAGTTTACCTCCTGGTCTCACATCTGCTACAACATCAGTTCATTGCTTGGCCTTGAACTTGCTGCTTCAATGCACTGCTCCTGAACGCCCCACTGGCTGAGCAGAGATGCACTGCAGGAAACCTGCGAGGCTGCAGGCAAACCATTACCCTCTGCTGGAGAGAATGGAGCGAGACAACCCATGTCTTACAAGTACTTTTATACTGGCATTTCGCAGAGATTCTCACAAAGTGTCATAGAATTATAGAACGGCCTGGATTGAAAAGGACCTTAAAGATCATCTCGTTTCAACCCCCCTGCTGTGTGCAGGTCACCAACCAGCAGCCCAGGCTGCCCCAACCCACATCCAATTGAATGCCTGCACATCCACATCCACATCCATTGAATGCCTGCAGGGATGGGGCATCCACAGCCTCCTTGGGCAACCTGTTCCAGTGCCTCACCACCCTGTGACCCACATTGGAACCCACACTGTTCCATTCTAGAAGTTGCTTTTTTAATCTTATAGCAGATCATGCACAGGAGAGCTTTGGAATGCCTGTCCCTGCCTACTGCCCACCAGCAGTGGAGGACTCCTACCATGCAAGCTCCAAAACAACCACAGTCAGACCAGTCTCCTACTGCACCCAGCCCAGCTTAAGTCTACAAATAGAGAGAATAACTTGGGAAACATTGCTAAAGCAGAGTGGAAACTGAAAAATCTGTATCCCCTCTTTGCAAAGCAGACTGTAGCAGAAAGAGGCTCCTTACAACTCTTGCTCACGGTAGCATCTGGCTAGTACAAAGAAAGGCAATGAAACTCTGAGAAGGGCCCTTGTAGAAAGCTTCAGGATAACACAACATAAAGGAGAATAACCAATGCCTTGTAGAAATTCTCCAAAGTTTCAAGCACATAGAGAAAAAAAAAAAGCATATTTGCAAACTGGGACCTCAAGGCTATAAAACATAGCTCAAGATACAGCAGAGCTCAGCTCCAGGAGCAGCTGAGGTCTGGCACATTTCTGTGACTCTTGTTTCTGTAGCTCTCTGCCTGTCAGAAGTGAGAACTTTTTATCATTCTCTTCCGAAATTTTCCACTGCAACCAAGACCTTGACACATTAAGACAGAAGAAAAAAGCCTGAACAAAATCTCCAGAGAGAAAACACAGAAGAGATTTACAGCTGCTTTCTATCTAGCATCTCCCTTTACTCCCCTTTCAGCAGCTGGGATTTTAAACACTCAGCATACTTACATGAAGACTGGAGGACAGGAGGGTACACGAAGCACAACAGCAAGGAGATGAGGGCTGACAAGAAAAGCATGAGGGATGCAGGTGTTCTGAGCACAGAGGGTTTATGGATGACTTTTACAGCAGTACACCATCAATTATACTGATGCTGTCTCTGCTGGATTAACTCCTGGCGGACAGGAGGCAGCTGGGGAGACGGATTTGCTTTTCTGTCACTCCTGATCAAGACCAGTGTTCCCCTCTTGTTCAAACAGGTTTGCATGGCCTCTGTGCTGCAGAGTTACTGAAGAGCTTCAGAGATCTCTGCTGGACTCTGACAGCCTTCCCTGCTATCCGGGCTTTTTCTTCAGCCCTCCTCATTGGTCAGTGTCACCACTTGTTTGTTGTTTGCGAAGGAGTTTTTGTGCTTGCAGATTTCTGTTCCTGCCTCTACAATAATCCTATAATTGTGATGCCAAGTAGCACCTGAGGACAATTTTATCACATTCTGTATTATATGTAAATACCATTACGTTAGATGGATTTTCTCATTAATTCTCCGTCCTGGTGACAAGCCAGGAATTAACACAATTGATTTTCCAGTCTCTGCTCATTATCAATCATCCAAGAACTTAGTCACATCTCATCTGTTCCACCTGGGTCGCAGCATTTATTTGTAGACTTCAACATACATTTAACTAATAAAAACCAACAGGTGTAGCAACCTCTGTGCCCCAGATCTGGACAAGAACAAACCACACGTCTTCCTCATTCCTTTGGTGGTAAAATTCTCACCACAGACCGGTATCCTACAGAGAACAAGCAGTGGGCAGGTTAAGAACAGCCTGTTGTACACTGGCTGCCATCAAAATCAATGTATACATCCATGCTGCTCTTCAAAAACTTACGGAAAAAAACAATTCATAGGTGCATGTTTCCTGAAGGTGCTCCATTCAGAAGTAATAGAAGTATCCAAGGGACATCCATGATTCAACCCGAACTCTCACCATTACTGTTTCTTTGGAAAATACCAAAGGCCAAAATGAAGAAGCAGTAAATACACTACAGAGTTCACTTCAGCTCTGGAAGAGGTTCTGTGAGGATGAAAATGGAGAATGAGAACAAGCAGAGGTACAGAAGGCAATAACCTCAGTGTGTCACACTGCTTCTCCTGTTCCTGTGGTTCCCACCTGTCCTGCTGTCACACCAAACAAGCAGAAGGAAACATTCCCACGACATGCATGACTTGTGCACCGTACCTTTCCTGACTTCCTTCATTTCTATCTCCTGGCTCAGGAGTGGAATTCTGGCACAAACAGATTTTTCTGCAGAAAGCTACAGGTATGGCAGACTCTGAAATAGCAGTCTGGCAAATGTAAGTGCTCTGTTATGAAGCAGATGAGTCTTCAGCCTAGCCAGCCCCTCACTAGGCCTTTGTATAAAGCAGGCATTCTTTTGGAGCATATCTTCCACCTCTCAGATGTTCTCCTGCTTGTTCCCTACCATACTGCTCCTGGGGATTACATACAGTGTAAACTTAGCTATTCATCTGTAGCTCCAAGAAACAGGGAACCCTGAGAGCCACACGCTCTTTCTCTAAGCAGAAACAAATAGATTGCTGTACACAATAAATAGTTCAGAATGCCCCTTACTGAGAGCATCTGTTCTTCAGGCACATAAAAGCAAAAGGGGATTCATAAACCAAAACCATCGTGCTCTCTTGTCCATTGTGGAAAGTGACGCTTGCTCAGGTCATTACAGGTTAGTAGTGATGAATGACTGAATGATTATTCAACCCTTGCTAGGCATGTGTTGATTTGGATCGTTGCTATTATCATTATAACAAAGCAGCCGTCTTTTATCTGCATCTGCAATCCAGCTTTTGGTTTTGTTCCTGTGGATAGTTCCCAGCTCTAAGTCCCATAAATTGATCAAACATGAAATTGTGGAGCAGGAAGAGTAAAGTCTGCTCCCAGGTGTTGGGAGAGCACAGCTTGATGCACCACCCCTGGCACTGAGAAGGGGTTCTGTAAATAACAATACCCTTAAAACCATCAGCTGTATTTGGCTCACTGGAATCCAGAAAGCATTCAAAAGCAGCTCAGGAACTGAATTATCACCAGATAATAATAATCTGTATGGAAGCTACTGAAGGCAAATTCTAATCTTAATTATTAGGTGACTTTTGAAACTTTCAGTGCAGGGAGATGGCACAAGTCTGGAATACTAAGCAGTAAGGGGCTAGAAGGACTCTCACCCTGGTGGATGTTCCTGCAGATAACCTAATCCCATAGGGTTATGATTTCAAATTCACTCTGTGGGGACAGAGGAACCCAATCCTCCTGATCCTACACAGCCCAGTGCTGCTCCAGCACTGCACGCAAGAGACAGAAAACCTTCTGGAAGTCATCACAGGAGGAAAACGTGAGGATGCTGCAGCAGTAGGGGGGTCAGGCTCTGACAAATGTGTCTCTGAGCTGTGTTCCTCACAGGCGCTGACGCTGGGTGTGCCCTACTCCCACCTGCTGTAGGGCAGCACTGCAAGCACAGAGGACGGTAAGGCTGATTCTCCGCAAGGAGCTGCCCTGGGGCACACTGAGGAGCTCTGGGAGCACTCTGGGGAGTCTCAGAGGGCACTGGGAGGCCTTTAGGACAGCACAGAAAGCAGCTCTAGACCACACACACAGGCCAAGCACCACTGCAACTCTCTGCTGCCGCCCCCTGAGTAAAAGGCGGCACTGCAGGCAAAGCTCTGCGCATGCGTGTCAGCGCCCCCTACGCGGGCATGCGCAGTGCTCCTTCCTCAGAGCAACATGGCTGCGCCCTGTGCGCATTCCCGCCTAGCGGCGGCAGCGAAATGAAATAGACGAGACCTCACCTCCCTTCCTTCAGCTCTCGTTGTTTCTCTCCCACCTATCCGTCACTCCCATTTGGCACTCCCTACCGAGCCGCGGGAACGCACCGGTTGGAATCTCCCAGCAGCCCCGCCATCGGCGCAGCGCTGTGTGAGATCTGCGCGCCCCACCGCATCTCCCGCAAGACGAGTTGCTCCTTTTTAAGCCGCTCTGCGCTGCCAGGCTCTATAGTATTAGGTCCTCCATGCGATACCACGCATGCGCGCGGAAACGCGGAAGTAGCGCTGCGTACTTTGTGCAATCCAGCTCGGCGCTATCGCGCATGCGCACACCTGAACTGCGGGGTTGTATTAGGGATTGACTTTGAGGCTTGCAGGCTGTATGTGTCTGCAGGGGCTGAATTGCATGAAGAGGCAAATAGGCAGTCAGGGGCCCAAGTGAAATGCCCCTGCACGAAGGCACACATAACGAGTTACAAACGGGAGGAGCTGGCAGCCATTGGAACTTGGTGGGATGAACATTGTTGGGATGCTGAAGTTGATGGCTGTAAGCCATCATGCTAGGTAGAAAGGGTGGGAGTTGGATATCAGGACCTGCTCTTGGTGGGCATAACTTAGCAGTTCACTCTTTGTGTTCATTCAACGCTATCCTCATGTGAGAGCGAGATGTGTTGATTCTTTGCCATCCTCATGCTACTGCTATGTTTCTGGGTAAGACTGAAAGCCCCAGAAAGGTGGGTAGAAAGCTGAGTACATTCCCTACATAGAGGCTTGGTTTCAGGTGTTGTGTTTGAGCTATTTATTGGTTGTAGGCAAATGTTTTGCATACATACATGGTCAATTTCTGAAAGTGGGAGAGTGTCATAAAGAGGGGTGTGACTGGCATCCTCAGCCAAGGAGCTGATAACTGGTTGTCCACTGTGAGTTTATTGTATGTCAATAAGGAGTTTAGATTAATGAATTACCAAGGAAATGCTGTGTAAAGGCTTTATAAAGCTTCTCGTGCGGAGATAGACAACTGGACAGTCTGGGTACTAAGAGAAAACCTGAGAGACACGAAAGAAAGGCAGTGTAATACCAAAACAGGAGAAAAGATATTCAGGTTAGAAGAGGCTGCTCTTTGCAGGTACTATGAGAGGCTTGCTGTCCTTCACAGTCCTTGCACTTCTTTTGCTGGTGCACAGCTCCCAGGCAGTCTATGTCCAGGTGAGTTTTCTGCTGGTTATCTTGTTGGTATTGCAAGCTCAGTGATGTACTGATGTGAAGAGGTGTAAGTAAGATAGGAGTCTTGCTCTGAATTGATAAAGCTGGATTTTTGCTTTGCTCTGATATCATCTCCCTGTGGTTTAGTCTTTCTCTCTGTAAAATGGTTCAGGCGTTTGTAACATAAAACTTTTCTTGAGAACTCCATAGGTTATGAAGTTACATGAACTGGGGAGAAAGTGTTCTGCTTGTTTCTAAGCATGAAGTTCTTTATGAAAATGACCTGCAAACTTATGTGATAGAGCCTACAAATATCTCACATATAAAAATAAGGTGAAAGAAATGACTGGTTTGATCTGAAGGAATATTGATGGGTTGTGGTGATATTAAAGGAATGTTAGTGTACTGATGGTGGGGATGAGTTGATGGTTGGACGGGATGATCTTAGTGGTCTTTTCCAACGCTAATGACTCTATGATTGTGTGATAGAGGAAACTAATACCAAATACTCCAAAGTACACAGAACCTATGATTGGCATTACATGCACTGTGGAAGCAGGTAGGAAGGTGTCAGCACTTCTGTCTGTACACAAGAGTATGTTAGATTTGTCTGCGCTGATCCCTAGGAGTAGTTTGGGAGATTTCATTTTGATTACAGTGTAAATAATTTCCCTGGTGTTCCAAGAGGGCAAATATTTCTTAAACAATAATTGACTCTTTTCATGTGTGCTTAGTAGGTTTCCAAGGAGTGAAAAGATCCCATCCTTGTGCAGGTTTCACCTCCTCTTTTCTTCCCAACCATTCATTAATACCAAGAGTCCCCAGACAGAACAGATAGTTTACTATTTCACGGGGGGAAGGAGAGGGGTAAAGCAACAATTTTCCAACTGAGACTACAGAAAATAGCTGAGAACATCTTCTGGGTGGGTAGCAAAGAATTCAGTTCTGAAGTTTTAGTTCCTATTTGTAGTTGGAATCCTTATCTCATTAATCACTAAATTCATATTTTCTCTGCCTTTGATAAGACTTGAAAAACGTGTAGTGTGCTGTGTGTGATGCGCTCCTTTGACTTGGATTGCTTGATTTCCCTTAGGATCTGACTAATTACTCACTGAACAAAGTTGCTTTATAAACTTGCTTTCTGAAATTCTTCCCAAGACTTTTCTTCCCTCTTCTGTAATAAGTAAGTCACAGGGGTTATTAATTTAACAAAATGTTCTGAGAGCTGCAAGGGAGGTTTGTTTGACTTCGTAGAGTGTTCCTAAGGGCTGAACATCACTATCTGGACACTCTCTTGGTTTGCAAAGTGTGCAAAACTAGAAAAAAGTAGAGAGGGATTGTGGTAAAATCTGTCAGTTCAGTAGAACAGCATGCATTTTCACCTTGGAGGGAAGATGCTGCTCATGTTGTGTTCTCTCTAGTACACCTTTCTTGTTGGAGATGGTGGTGGTATTTTTGTTTTTTTGGGTGGTTTGTTTGTTGGTCTGATTTGTCACCAGGACATAAACACGTCTCAGGGTTCATTCCTACTGTGAAGTGATAATAAGTAGGAGAAATCCAACGTGCAAAAGACCAAATGAAGCTCGCTTCAGTTGTTTCTGGTTTCTCTGGAACTGTGCTGGTGGAAATCCTGTCTTTTTTGTTTCCGTTTCATGCTTTTAGAGTCTCCAACCAATAGATGAATATAGAATTGTGTCTTTGGTGGAATAGTACATTTTTCACAGGCATCCAATCTGATAAATTATTTTGATGAGAAAAGTCACAAATTGATCAGTTTTACTTTGTTAAATAAATGCATGTACACAGTAGCTCATTTATTCTTCTTCTTTAAGTACCCCCACTGCCCAAAGACACCCACACAATTCAACATCAAGCTAATGAGACTTTGAGATTAATGGCAATAATAGCAGATTCAATCCACTTTATTTCTATGACTGTTTAGGTGTTACTTGATCATCCTTCTGACTATTTAATTCTCTTCAGACTTCTGTGGACGTTTATGTACTTACCTTAAACAATTACTAGACTTGCAGTTTAAGTTTATTATCTCAGCAGTGTGATTCACTTGAAACTGGGAGGAAATTGACATTAATGTGTGGGGTCTAACAATTTCAAGCATGGAGCAAACCTTTCCAGAATAATCTTCTGGTCTCCCAAAGCCTTGGTGTGATCTTTCAGTTAGAAGTGCCACATTTAGCAGTTCTCAGTCATTTGTGCTCCATTGTGTGGGCAAATTGTAGATTCTTGTCTTGTGGTGATGGGATTCATCCTCTTCTGTGTTTTGAGCATTGCACTTGAGAGCCAAGATTCAAAGTTCTGTGCTGGTATATTACAAGAAAGAGGGAACAAAATAAATCCCCGTTCACATCCATTCAACTCATGGTGTTGTAAATCTCTACCACATATTGTCCAATCGTTTGTTTCCTAGACTGAAGAGTCCCAGCCCTTATCTTCCTACACTAGATGTTAGGAGTCTCCCTCACAGGAGTGAAAGATGTACTAATTCTGCCTCCATTCACTATGGTGCTTAAACAAAACCCTGGCTGTGGAGGCTCACTGTTATAGCATAGTTTTTCCCTATAGTACAGTTTTTTGGGGAAGGGTCACAGTTTAGCAGAGTTCAGTCATAAGGGAATGCATTTGCCTGAAGTCTGACTCTCTAATATCTGTTTTTTCCTTTTCTGTCTATGTAGGATGGCGACTTGACATTCTCCCTTGAATCTGTGAAGAAGCTAAAGGAGCTTATGGATGAGAACAGAGTCATTAACCCTCGCATGGTGGTTTATAAGGCTGGGTATTCTCTATGTGAAGATAAAGATCTCCCTGAGGTTTTCCAACCTGTGTGTAAAAGGAAAGATGCACCTATGATTTTCGAGAGGCTGTGTATGTAGTTCATGTTGCACAGTTTCCTTTTTATCACACCTTTCAACCTCAAACATTGAAATAGTAGCAGCCAAAGAAGCGTAATTACTGTTGTGTCGCTTCTGAGGCAGCTCGAAGTCCATGCTGCCACCCCTTCTGCAAGGCTACAACAGCTGTGGGCCCACCAGAACACTCCTATAGTGCTTAGCTGTAACATGTACAGATCAGTCTGTTGTAGACATGAAAAGGCTTCCTCCTATTGGAGATGTATTTCCAGGTTCCTTAAAAGAGGTGTGAGATGTAGGTGAAGTGAATCAGCCTTTGGCATTACCTGTCTCCAAGGCACATATAGCAATTCTTGAATAGGCTCCTACAGTATCTACTTTTTATCTATTTATTATGTTGTGTTTACCAATGCCATGGAAAACTTAGGAAGAAGTAGCACCAATATAGCTGAGGTTGTGGTTCTGCAAGCCACTTCAGAGGATCTAAGGCCACATCCTTGTCACCCTCTCATAATATGTCCTGTTGTTCTCTTGCCTCCACATCTTCCCCTTCTTTCCCCAGTGAGTTCAGATTTGATTTAATTCCTTAAGCAACATTTTCTCAAAAACTAGTTTTTCTTGTATCAGTAATAACTTCAGTTACACAAAAAATTATGGAATAGTAACAGAAAGAAGTCTTTTACCACATGGTTTAAGGCTCTACTCTCCAATAAATTCCTTTGCCTTGTCACTAAAACAGTCTATTTTCTCCCTAACAGACTTGATTGCCGGTGAAGCTGATTTGTGTGAAATCTGTGCCAATGCTGCCTGCTCTGGTTGCTTTTGAATAAGGATGAAACACTCCAAAGACAGTGTGCCAAGCTAGGAAGTTTGTGCATTTGTATTGCAAGATCACATACCCTCACAAATCACTATTTAGGCTTCGTCTTCACCACAGTCAAACTGAAGCTGTTAGCTCATGTAGACATAGTAAGAGTAATTTTGAAGTAGTGAGATCAGGTAATACCAGCAATGCAGTTCTGGTAACAGGAAGACCAAGCTTCATGTGAGAAGCTGAAGAACCATGAAGAAAGAGGCTCACACTGAGCGTTGTCTTGCCTTGAGCCATGCCTGAGTTGTGCATCTGTCTATGTGAGCTGTGTCGTGGTTGACTGGAGTGAAAATATCCTGGACTCGATGTTTCAATTTCCATTAATCTGTCTGGATTGGAGCACAATGGGTCAAACTGAGTAGTCTCCTCTAGCCTTTTAATATCTAAATCTCCGTGTGATCTGGCTTCCACTACACATATACACCTAAGCAGCATAGGGTTGTAATCTTTTCCAGCTCAAGCTCTCCAGTTGGTTGGATGAATGTCTGTGCCTGTAGGTCTGGACATGGTATGTGTTTGATTGTAACAGAGCTGTAACATATAACTTGGGGACAAGTCATAAGTGTTTAGCAATGCTTTAATAGCTAGGAAATTCTCCATCTGTTACTTGTGCTAATATTTAATGCCAATTTACTGAACAGATGTAGAAGAGCACAGGAGCTAGTAATCTTTTGCTCATGGTTGTACAGAAGTTCCCTTCTTTTGGCAGATGTTCGTTAAGCTCTGTTTAGGAAAAAGGAAATCCAAGCTGCAATGCTGGAATCACTTTGAAAGGAAATCATTGCCTTGTCTTTATTTTTGAGTGGCAGTTTGTGAAGAAGAGGTCTACTGATGTTTGTATGCTACTGTACATGAAATAAAGGTTAGAGACAATTTTGTTGTTTGGTTTGGTTTTGGCTTTTTCTCTTTCTTTGATGGTCTACCTACTTCCTTATCTCCTATATAAGTTCTTCCATGTCTGAATGTCCACTAGAGTAAAAGATAACTTGTTAACCTTAAAATAATTTGCTATTCAGTTTGTGGTCCTTATAGTAATAGTAATATATAACTGCTTTGGAATTTTAAAATTATTCCTTTTCAACTGTTAAGCCTCCATTTTTTATATTTTGGGGCCTCAACTCAGCAACTATGTTCTCATAGGAGTGTCAATGTTGTGCGTCTGTTTCGAGACTGTTGAGTACTCCAGAACAAAAGCATCCAAGAGTGAATGCCAAAAAGAGTCCCACACTAAGCATCTTACTGCTGCCTTGAAATTGGCACCTCTGGGAAACTGCATTTCCTGACTCAAAACAGTTCTTGGTCTTATTTTGAAATTAAAGTTATGTCTTTGGATATAGAAAAGCCACTTTGCATTTTCTCTTAGAATCGACTTGAGGAATCATTAAGTCTTAGTACAGCAGCTTAGTATGGCTCAGGTGGAGAGGGCAGATTATGCATTTTGAAATGAAGACTAATTGGCAAAAAGAACAGGACTGAGATCACCCTACTGATACTCTCCTAGTGTTCACGCTGGGTCAGAGGGCCGGACTGGGGACCTTAAAAAAGTTCTCCCAGTGACTCACAAACCTCACATCCTTTATAACACCACGCTGACTTGCTAACCTGATAATCACAGAGTAGTTGAGGTTGGAAAGGACCTCTGGAAGTCATGTGGTTCAAGAGCTGTGCTCATGTTGGACAGTGTAGAATAAGTTGCCCAAGACCTTATCCAGAAATCTGAAGATCTCCAAGGAGGGAGACTCTGCCACTTAATTGAGCAACATGTTCTACTGCTCCATCGCCTGCACAGCGGAGAAGTGTTTCTTGATGCTCCTGTGTTTCAGTTTTTGCCCATTGCTCTTCAGCTTGTCACTGGGCACCAAGGAAAAGAATCTGGCTCCATCTTCTTTCTGTCCACTCATCAGGTATTTAGATGACATTCCTACTGAGCCTCCTCCAGGCTGAACAGTCCCAGCTCTCTTAAACTCTCCTCGCAGGAGAAATGCTCCAGTCTTTGATCCCTTTCCAGTGTGTCCGTGTCTCTCATGTACTGGGGAGCTCAGAATTGGACCCAGCACTTCAGATGTGGACTAACCAACAATGAGTAGAGTGGAAGGAGCACTTCTCTTGACCTGCTAGTGAAACTTAGCCTATTTCAGCCAATTCTTAGCAGTAAGGATTACACAAGTGAGTGTCTCAAGAAAATTAGATCAGACTCTTGACTTTTAGTTGTCAGACTACTGAAACCTCTTCGAGGCCAACGATGCACAATACTACATTGCAAACTGGAGAGGTGGTGCATCAGCAGTTTAAAGTTACTTAGGTGGCTCATGCAGATTCATAAAAGTCTTCATCTGTTTGGCTGGTTCCTGTGTATCCAGTGTCACCATGTCATGTATGTTCCTATCATTTCCTTCTCAGAAGGTCGTTCATGCAGCTATTTACTTTGGCTATATTAAAGAGTTCAGAAGACAACTGTGTGACACGTAGCAGGCTCTGATTGTTACAGTGAGTCAGAAACACCTCTAAGCTCTTGTAAATTCTTCCTTTTCTTCTAATAAATGGTCCTCTGTTTTCCTAAGAGGCAAGATAAACTGAGCTTTACAATGCATCATTTTCTTTGATGGTCAGGATTGCCACCTGCTATCATTTATGGACTACACTGCCCTTTCATTTCCTGCCTCCTATTTACAATGTGATAAAAATTACAAATAATCATCGTGTTCCATTGACTGAGTTTTCTTGAATGAATAATAAACAGATGTTCTTTATCTGAAGTTAAAAGTAACGATTTGCATTGTTATGACACAGTTAATTTTCTGTCAGATTACTTCTGCCTTTCATTTGGCTGTGAGAAGTGGAGTATTTTTGTTTCCAGTTAGTGCTTTTCAAATGGAACCTCACAGGTTAAGATGTGATCCACCATATGCTTCCTCTGGTATTGTAAATACTTACTGTGTGTTCAATATTTCAAGTACTCTTCCAGGCTTGGGGTTACAGAACCATGTTTAATGCTGAAAGGAGTTGCAATCCAAATACTTTTGGAGCCTGTTGCTGAAAATGGGAGCCTAATGAATCAGGAGGGCTGTAACATAGGTCATCTGCTGAGCCATATGCTTGCTGAACAGCCTCTGAGGGCAGTTTTTGTTGTTTAACCCAGCAGGCAGCTAAGCACTACACAGTCATTAGTTCACTCCCCTCTTCGACTGGGATGGGGAAGATAACTGAAGAAAGGAATGGTAAAATTTGTAGGCTGAGATAAAGCCAATTTACTATGATAGAAAATGAAGGGAAAATAATTATAATGATAAATATATATATGTGAACACACATATATATTTAAAAACAAGTGATGCACAATGCAATTACTCACCACCTGCTCACCTGTGTCCTTGTCCATCTCTTTCCAGCTTTGCAATTCTGCATGATCTCTTATGGTGTGGAAAATCATAGAATCATAGAATGCCCTGGGTTCGAAAGGACCGCAGTGATCATCAAATTTCAACCCACTGCTATTCTGTCCCCTCCCAGTGTCTTGTGTCCCCCCAGCCTTCTCACTGGCAGGACAATACAAGAAGCTGAAATGTCCTTGATTCTGTTGTTCTGAGACAACGAAGACATTGGTGTGTTGGCAACATTGCTTTTCTCCTAAATCCCAGACACAACATCATACCATCCACTGCAAAGAAAGCTAACTTTATCCCAGCTTAAGCTGGGAAGTTAAGTTAGAAGGGGAGAACAGGGGTATTATGCAGTTTGAATGTCCCTCCCAAGAAAACAGCTCCGTTATGTGAGATCCTGAAACTGGGAACTCAAATAAGGAGTCAAACCAAAGCTTCATAACCACAGTTAGCAATGTGCAAGGATATAATGCAGGAGTTTTGCATGATGGACAGTGTGTTGTGCATATGGCACCAAATCTGCAATGATGTACCTAAGGGGCAGTAAAAACATAGAATATGAAATTGCCCATTGCTGCTGACTTGGGCAGCTTTGGAGATGCCCTAGAACTGCAGCTGGGCTTGGTGATCCTAGAGATCGTTTTCAACCTTGATGACTCTGTGATTCCTTGAACTTCCCAAGGCATAATCTCCAGGCACTGGGGAGGAGGACAGATGTGATCTTGGAGGAATCCATTCTTAACAATTGTAGTTAAGTTTGTGATTGTAACGATTTAAATTATTTAATGATTTGCTTCTATCTAGCCTAGAGCAAAAGGTGAGTGAATTAAACACGTGTAGTCATGTAGAAACTATCTCAATCTAAAATCCCTTCACAGTGAGAACTGAGAACTATCTTCATGTCCTTTTTTTTTTTCCAGTTGAATGAGTGACTTATTGAAATGTTCCTCATTAGAATGCTCAAATTACAGCAATAAATATCATCTCCTCAGGGAAGGGAATATGACACACGAAAGAAACCCTTTTCTGGCATTAAATTGTGCCAAGGGAGGTTCAGGTTGGATATTAGAGACAATTTCTTCTCAGAAAGAGTGGTGATGCTTTGGGGCATGCTGCCCAGAGAGGTGGTGGAGTCACCATCCCTGGAGGTGTTCAAGAACTGTGGAGATGTGGCACTGAGGGATGTGGTCATGGTGGTGGTGGGTTGGGATTGGGCTTGCAAATCCCAGCCTAAATGATTCTGTGATTCTGAAATCTGGTAAAGTCAGCTGAATAGAAGCGTTTTGAAATTCAATAAGCAATTATGCTTTTATTACCTAAGCATAATAAGAGTGTGTTATTGTATGTTAACTTTTGTACAGGGTTTTTTTCAAGGCCAGAAGGTCACAGGAGACTAAGGAGTGGATTTCAAAGTCTGCAGCTGATAAATACAGCTTGGATTTGTTCCTGCAGATTTCTTCCCCACGCATGCATACTGCTAAGATAATAGGAGTGTGCGCCCTCCTCCATCTCCCTCTCTTTGTTCAGTAACAGCTATCATTCTGGACAAATTGTGGAGATCAGCCTGTTCCTTACAGGACCATTTAATCACTCCTTGCAGCTGAGGAATCAAGTTGTCGGAATGTATCTCCTCAGAGCAGTCCAGTGTGACTACATCTGACATCTCCAGGCTCTTCTGTTTGAAAGAATGGATCGTCTGCAGGCATTTTCTATTAATGTTTAATCACTAATGATAGTGTAGATGTCAGCCTGATGTTGATATCTTTCTCCCCTTATCTTCAATCAACTCTTGGCTGGGGGCTTTTGTTAAAGAAAGGCATCATATTTATACATGGCTGTAATAAGTATGCACAACATACTGCAGACTGGACTTATAGAAGAACATAACATGAATATTGATGCAATACTATGTTAATAATTGTCACTGAACGCAGACATTCTTTGTCCTTTATCCTTTTTGGGCACATTCTCTTATTTAATATGCATTCCAGTGTGTGGTTGATGACAAATAGATGTCATGCTGCTGAAATACACCACCAGCAGGCATTCTGGACAGGGTAGGACTGCAGCAATTTCCAGATTTTGCTAGCTGTCACCACTGGATTTCCATGCAAGCCAAATCAAAGTGAATGCCACAAAGTTGAGGGTTTTGTTTTTTGCATCAGAATTTTCCTGTGCCTCAGACAGGAAATTAGGCAACATGATAATAGATTTTTTGTGACATCTTTTTTTGTGCTATTTGGGATAATCTATAGGTATTGGTGGTAAGCATAACAGACAGTGTCCACATCAGGCAATGCAAATATACATCTTTTTCATTAGAACACGTTCCACCCAACTTTTTTGTGCTTTGTGCTTTGTTTGTGCTATTTGAGCAGCCCAGTGTGGTGATGCAGATTTCACAGTTTAAAAAAAAAAGTAAATAGGAACTTTCAGCTCTTCTGCTGGTTACTGAAAATTTCCTATTGCTTATTATATTAATGAGAGCTTGAG